CTACCAAAAATTTTGCGCTCGACATACCCATGAAAGGAGTATTCGCAAGGTTCAACCGTTGCCCTTAGTGCAATGACAGGGTCTCCCCCAGGAGGAGCCGTCTTCATGATCACGGTATCCTCCGCGCCAAGTAAGTTATGTTGAATGCGACTTTCGTGACCATTCTTATCTATTCAACAGTACAAATTATATACAGAAAACGAAAAACATATTGGAAAATAAGACGACGAACCCTAGCGGCTAACTTTGTAAAACATAATTTAAAGCAAAATATATTTGAACAAAGGACAATCGTCAATCATAAATCAATTTTCTGTCTTAAAATTAGGTTAAATAGAATTGGCATTGAACAAGTAGATCTTTAAAAATGTTGAGGAAATCCTGATTCATATTTACTTGGGGTGTTTGTTTACTTTGGTTACTTTTAATTTTAAATACACGACAACTAATACCAATGTTATCCAATAGACAATCTAATCAATTAATAGCACGTTCTCGTTACACATATAATTAAACGGCAAATTAATTCATCCGAGCTTAATATACATGTGTATATATTACATTGCACACACACACACACACGCACGCACACGCACGCACACACGCACGCACACACGCATATATATATATATATATATATAGATAGATAAACATATATATAAATAAGCGTATAGAATATATGTATGTACGCCTGTGTGTATACGCATATTGAATTTATACGCGATTAGGGGCAAATAAACCAAAAGCTTTTTACAATATATTGCAATTTTTTTTTTGTTATTTTTTTTTTTTTTTTTTTTTTTTTTAAAAACTCTAATTCATGTTTACCTATGAGAAGCTGAATTTTAGCATAATAAGGCCCCATAATTGATCGACATAATTGATAAACGAATTATGGTGCGCAAGTTTTTGCGTGGATTTCGAGAGAAAGAAAAATTTTTGTTGTAAAAAATCCTTGGCATCATTTCGTCGGGGAAAAGATCGTCGACGACGGTAGATAAAAAAAGAAAAAAAAAGAAGAAAAAAAATTTGGCGGAGAGAGGTAAAATCCCTCCAGGGATTCTCCAGCGGTAAACGATCAGCTACGTAAGCGCTTTCCATTTCCATCCCGTTGCTGGTAAAACTCGAAATATAGGTAAAACTTAATTTTCTTCGCACGCCTACCAAGAGGTTCAAACGCGATATCTTTCGACTCAATTTCTTGACGCCTTAATCATTCTTACTGATACACGTGCCATAAAAAAAAAATCGTTCTCAGTAATCGAACACTATATTTTCAAATAAGTATCCCTTAGTTTGGCTGAAATACAGAGTCCGGATGATAAATCGTCTTTTGGCTTGTGGAAAAGTTTATTCGAGGAAGGGCAAGGAAAAGCGCTTTTTATACGAACGCCAACACTTGGGCAAATTATTTTCTAAACTACATTCTTACCAGCTCCATTGCTATTGATTATTCGATAAAAAAACATTATGAAAACTGTAATCAACAACACTTGCAAATCTATAGATGATTCATTAAAAAAAATTCGGCAACATAGTTTTACTTTTTAATGTATTTTCGAAAATCTGTTCTTTTTGTTAAGCTTGACGTAGTAAGCGACACAAAGGATTTGAGTAAATGAATTATAAAATATTGAAAATACTTTTCACAATGTTAGGTTCATTATTTGAAAATGTCATTAAAGCACACAGAAGCACACTTTTATGATATTTGAAAGTCTTTACATCTAAGGGACTGAGTTATATTGATATTTCTATGCAAGTAATATAAATTATTACTTTACCTTTTGACCTCTAAATTAATACGATTGCAATTATATGGATCTTCAGCTCGTATAGAAATTATGGTATCGAAGCTCCTAAACGATACTATAATTAAAATTTGTATCTAAAATTAATCTAGAATTAATCCAAAACCCTAGGAAGCTCAAAGTTTTGTTATGCAACGTTTTCTTGCAACATGTCGCTTTAAAATTTCAACTGCAATTGCCATTAATTAATAATTAATCCCCATTTATCAATTTCTCCTCGTTAAAAATGTACAATTTCAAGCAGAACATTTTTTGTTTGTTTGTTTGTTTGTTTGTTTGTTTTGCTTTTACCAAGGAATATAATTATATAAAAGGCGGCAGAGGTCTGTTTTGATCGTTAGGCAAAGTCCTGCATCACTCGCAAGTAATTTATGTATACGCAAATTACACTTTTTTAAGCATTAAACTTGAATCATTCGTTGGCAAATAGAGGATTTATGAGAGGGATTTATGATGTAGTTTTTCATTAAGACATTGTCATGTCATCGAAGCTATAAAAGTATATAATTTTAGAATATCATTATTAACCAAGTATTTGAGAAAATAAAAATAAAAATACGTGCAAACGGCTTTTAACCTCCTTGGTTCCAAAATTCAATTGCCACTGGATAAAGCATCTTGCTCCGGCCGTTAAAACACACACAAAAAAAAAAAAAAAAAAAACAAAAAAACAAATCTTCTCGACAATAGCTATTGAGACGAGCAAAGCGTAGCTAAGATACGAAAAGCCATCAGCATCGTAAGGAGCATCGTGATTTCGTATGCCGTAATGGATTCTCCGATAACCAAACGGAAGCCAAAAGGAATAAAAAAAATCCCGCTACAACCGCTCCGAAGGCAAAATCAGCTTCTCTCGTATCGCCTGCCTGCATGCCACAGACTGCAGTTCGCTTGCGTTATTTTTATCCGCCATTAACTGTGACGAAATCGCAAATGTACTAATTTAATGTCAGGGAAAAAAGGGAATTTTTATTTTTGAACGATCGACGATTGTGCTCGGAGCCCGAGGGACTGGACCGCGACGGATTTGTCGACGACCAGCAGACGCGAGAAATTACTTCGCGGGATGGACCAGCCGAGCATTAAATTTAATCGAATGCTTGCCGAGTTAATGGCACGATTATTAAGTGACTAGTTGTATTATGAAGTTATATTATTTCATAACGAGATAAAGTGGTGGTAAATACATACACGGCGAATCGAAACTCATTTAACGACAATACAATCGCACTGCCTATAGCGAGCATTAAAACTCGAGTGTTCGTAAATACGTGGGTGAAGGATTTCACATTAACGAACTGTGATATTAAATATAATTTAGTGGTATTTAAATTAAATTAATAGACGATTGTGCTTAAAACACACAATTTTAGTGTAAGTGAGGAGGAACGCTGTGTAATAATACGCTTAACGAGCGCTCGCTAAAATCTGCAAATGCGCGTGCAGGTGCAGTGAACAAAGAACAAATAAACAAAAAACAAAACAAAACAAAACAAAACCAAAAAAAGGAAGAAGAAAAGAGAAAAAATACCAGACAAATTGGGAATTCGAAAGTACTTTATACAATGCATGTAACATACGTAGGTTTGAAGCTACCGCGTGGTGCGAAATCAAACGGTAACGCCAAACGTGATAACGTCAATTGCGTCAGCTTATGAGAGCGAGGGAGAAAGATTGAGAGACAAAGCGAATATGAGAAACGGGGAAAATTCGTCGCCAGGGTGTGATGGAGTTTATCGAGTATAGGGGCACTTTTTCGCGGCAATGAATCGAGGCAGCATAAAAAGTACCAAGGGAGTGGAGCGACTTCATCATCCTTAGGCAAGACAGGAAGGAGTTGCAAGTCCAGGCGGAAGAGACGACGAACGCGGTAGTCGAGCACTGGGGAAGGGCCCCAGCGAAGCGTTTCGATCTCGCTCGAGTAGACAAAAAGCGCCCGACTGCGACGATCCCTCGACCGGGAGCGCCGGAGCCCTCAAGGTCGGGCCGCTCGCGTAGAGGACGGTCACCTTCCTCGACGAGATCGATAGGCCCCCGGGTGTAAGTAAAGTACGTGGGTGCGCGCGCGCCTCCTCCCTGACGGCAATCGATACACACTCACCCGGGCTCTCCTCCTTTTAGGGCCACTGCTCTAGCTCGTCCTCGCTCGTTCGCTCGCTCGCTCGCTGGCTCGTTGGCTCGCACGCGCGCGCGCGCGCGCCTGATGTCCGGGTCCTCGACCACGGGTACGACGCGCGCCTCGTGCCTGTCCGACAACTGCGACGTCGGGCGCTCCGACGCCGACACCGTCACCGTCACCGCCACCGCCACCGCCACCTCCACCGTCACCGCCACCGCCGCTTTCTCCTCCTCGACGCGAGCGCATGCGTCCGGACCCCCGCGAATCGCGCGCGCGCGCACCTAACAATCCACACCGGCCACCTACGCCTTCGAGGCCGCTCGATTCTCCCGCATACGCCGATGTATCGGCCCTACGACGCATCGAGCCCCGCCTCCGGCGTCCCTCATTACTCGGGGCTTGACGCCCGAACGCGTTGCCCTCCACGCGGATAATCCCCGCTTATCCATGCGTCCGTGACTTTTGTCCCCTAACTATTATCGTCTCGCCTTATCCTGACTGGCTTGGTCAGCAAGCTCGCGATTCATCCAGTGGCGCCACCCACGATAATTAAGCGACTGCGAGGAGTCCTTTAAAGAGCTTGTCGAGCCTGGCATCTCGGCCGTGTAGAAAAATTCGAGGGGACGACGGGTTCGCCGATTCGTAAAATTCGAGAAGCGCCGGTCATTCGGCAATTTTTACCGCTCCTTTCGATTTCCATCTCCTGGGGAGTTAATTGGAGCCCGCCTTTAACCACATTACAACTCTCGCATAAACTCAACACTTTGTGCATTGTTATATAATGCCATCTTAATTCTAATTCATATGGTCGATTTGCTGTGAGGTGAGAGATGTCACTGTTGATTGATGTCGGCGTACGAGCGAGAAGCCAATTTGGCCCCATTGACAATTAAATCATTATTGAGGGGTGGGGTGGGGGAATGAGAGCAAATTTCGTGAATCGAGAACGAATGGATTATCCTCGCCAGCCGCAATCCTTGCGATCAATTAATCATGTACTCCCGATGCTTTGGTATTCTCTTGATTTTATTGGTAATATCGAGTTGTTACACAGAATATGTGGAGCGAATAGTCTTGGCAATTGTTGTACTGCGCTCGCATTAGAATGGCTCTGGGATTGGAATATTGGTTGCCGGCCCCTCCATCATATCGCGCAGGGAGACGCTGATTTCCTGAAAGCAAAAACAAAACAAAAAGTAAATAATGTTGTTCGGTATCGTACGATCGTGCCTCGGTCGATTCAGCGACATTTCGTCTGTATATTATAAATTATATTAGTCTAAATTATAAATTATTAACTTTAGCGGTCCTCACTATTAAACGCTCCACACCGTCTTTTCGCCGACTTTTCAGAGACGACAAAATAAGGTTTGCGACATATTTGTTTGTTTTGGGGCTTTTTTTGGGGGCTTTTTAAATCATATTGACATGTCGTTCGCTCGGCGCGATAGCCAAACTCTTTTCTCCAGGATACGAGGAAGCAGAATTTACGGACTGCTTACGATTACTCGAGATTAAGTTTTCGAATGTTTTATGGGTAAATTTGACTTTTAACGATTAATTAAAATTGCTGAAGCACATGGCGGGACTCTTGGTACGAGACTCGGCGAGAGAAATTTAAATAATTTTCACTTCGTGTAATATTTTGTTAAGGTTGGCATTTACGTTACATTAGAATGAATCATCGCGCGCGCGCGTGCGCGCGCAACGCTCAATTAGATTATTCAAAAGGACACTTGTATTTGAATTTAGAACATTGCTCGTAAAGAATAAAGTAAAAATTACAGACGTACGCGCAAATAACGGCATCGACGCTAAAGATAATAATATATCATTGAGAACACAGTTTTCTATGTAAATTGATAATTTGTGCTTCTTGCGCTTAGTTCGTGCGTTGTCAGGATTTCATTATTTTAAGAAAAATCTCTTGCTACGTTACGCAAACACTATTGAAGCGCCATTGTCTCGCGCGACAAAATGCTTTTATTCCAATAAATATGGAACGTGAGAAATTCACATATGATAAAAGACAGGAGAAAATGGCGGACCCGGTGAATGCATCGCTGATTATAATAGGGAGCCACTGAAAATTCAACCAAACGTCCAAAGCGGCCAAGTTATTTTCAAACGCAGTCATCGTTTCGGCAAGCGTAGATTGGGCCTCATCATCCCATTGTCGTCAATTTCCTTCAACGGCGTATTAATTGATGCGCTGGTGCGACATAATCACGGTACCCGATAATCAGGGAATAGTCAGATTGTCGGCGAGAGAGTGAAATTTGTCCACGTACCTGCTCACGCTGGAGTCGCAGTCGATCGATGATCGGCTCGTCGAAGTTCGGGTCGTCGCTCGAGTCCTCGAAGCTCGCCTGCCTCTTCGGGCTCTGGGGGAAGCGCGCCACGTATATCTCCTTAATGACGCTCAAGGCCAGCCGAGACCCGGCCCCGCGGTATTCCAGGTCGATCGCGGCTAAAGAGTCGCTACCCGCTGCCACGTAGAGCGGTTTGTTGTAATCCGTCATGCTTGTCTTCCTTCGCGACACACAAGCGCACACTATTCAGGAACTTCCTCTCGTAAGTGGATAAGGTAAGGTAAGTTTTTCGAGTTTACAGCTATTATTACGTTCTATTACGTGCCGAGCACGCAACACTGTCATTTTAATTTATTTCTAAATTACTTTGCTGATTCATTTGGGAGGATGCAGTGACTGGAAAAGACTAAGATGTGAGCGATTGTGGGTAGTTATTGTGGAACCGTAAAGGGAAAATGGGACTGTAAATTTACATTGGATACGGTATTGATAAATGCATGTGTTTGGTGCTGTTCTGGCCTATTGGCGATAAATGGAAAATCACTTAAAGTTGCATGAACATTTTTCAAATTCGCATTCCGCATTAATACTTATACATTCAATCATTTACCATGCGTCGCGTTCCATTACTATCATTTATAATAAGATGATAAATATATATATATATATATATATATATATATATATATATATACATACATTTCTTTTTATTCTCTTATTCTTGCAATATTTTTTATTTATCTGGTATTAAGGAATATACTTAAAATTTTAATCTATGCTTGTAGTTTTAATTTTAATGTAATATGAAATTAAAGCACTTTTAATAAGAACTTTTTCTTGATAGGCAGATGAAGAAGCTTTATTATTATTATTATTATTATTATTATTATTATTCTTTTTCTTTTTTTTTAAAGAATTATAGCATGATATTCAATTGTTATTTATTTAATAACTGCGATAAAAAAATTTTGCTTACAGACTTTAGTATAAGTAAAGGCCTTGTATTTTGAATTGTACTTAATACAGTTAAATGAATACTGTGTAACCTAGTATTTAGAATTCATCCCTCTCACTTCAGGTAACAATAAATGATTGCTGACGTATTTGGATTTATGATCATTATCGCTATTGATGTCAGTACACTTTTCTGCTCTATGTGATATAGTTTAATAATATGCGAATCTTAATTTATAGATGCCCAATTATACAAAATGTTCAAGCTATTTTTCATATTTTCAGAAAGTAAGACCGTTTAAGACGAATGCAGAATTAATTTTTTATAACGGCTACAATTTGTTTTACTTATTGTATGCGTTATATTTTATGTACGGTGAAAATATATGAAATATATTTATCATGGTGGTGAATTTGTCATGAATAGGCAAACTGTATAAGCGATTAAATATGCAGTAAAATGTTTTGTAATTTATCTATTAATGAGGGAATAATTACTGAGTGACTTCATTTCCATGATTTATATACTAAATATATTAGAAAAATTTCTTCGCGACAATTAAAAAAAATGACATCTGATATATAATAATATCTTTCATTATTTACACAGCATATAACATGGAAAATAATAAATTTATTTATTTAATAATAATATTTTTTTTTTTTTTTTTTTTTTTTTTTTTTTTATAAATTCAATGTATCGACTCGAATCGCAATTGTAGCGCACGTTTTTTATTCAATACTTTTATTTCTGAATTATTTCTGCCCAATGCATTTATCCAATGTATTATCATATTTATCGTTTTAAAGTTGAGTTCAAAATCAATAATTCAGTGGCAGGAAAAAGATGTGAATGTTATTTGTAACAATACATTTTGATTAAAATAGAATAATAAGATGCTTTTAAAGTCGAAGGTTTCCAAATAGATTTTTATTACGATACGAAAATCCTATTATAGATCTGTAAAAAGTTAAATATAACTCAATTTTAAATTAATTAAAAAGTTCAATATTTAGTATTTTTAATAATGTAAACATTTTATTGAAAATTTTACCTTTTATAAAATGAAAAATGTTCATAACTTTATATTACACATTACATTGATCAAATATATATATATATATATATATATATATATATATATTATATATATATAAACAAATGAATATAAGAAAAAATGAAAATATAAGAAAATGATAAACTTATGCAATTTATAGAGTTGAATGTTATTGTTAATAAATGTTATAGAATACACGATATTAGAATAGGTACAAATAGGTTAAACATTAATGTATAATAAATTTTAATACAAATAAGCTCTATATAATATAAATAGAAATTCGATAGAAAATTTTGCCAAGTTTTAATATTGAATTATTCAATCATTTTGACAATACAATTGATGTTATTTAATAAAGCGAACGATTATTGAATAGATTAATCAAACTAAGCGTAAATATCATAGTGAAAATATAAAGTGATAATAATGTTACGTGAATTCTCCTTTGAATCCATAAAGACCGAGAAGCTCCTTCGTCTTCCTTAGCAACTGCGAGTCCTTGGCCGAGTGATAATGCAAAGTGGCCCCAAGCACGTGAGCCACCGCCCTCAATATTTGTCCTATGAATTCTCTGTCGACGCCTTCGAAATCCCGGAAATTGTCGTACCTACCGCCAATGAGGCAGAGTCTCAGAGGAAAAAGATCCGCGACCGATTCCATCTCGCTCCCTTTCCCTTTCATCTGCTCCCTCAGACTATTCAGCTTGCGCTCCTTTAATTTCTCCATGACATCCGGAGGGTAGCTCTCCTTCAGGACGTTACTGTCGAAGATTGTCATTGGGTTTCAGCTATCATAAAATATTGCTCATCGATAATGAAAAATCATTCTTGCATTTCCATATTGACTTGATTATGAAAATGTATAAAAGGCTTAATAATCAGCAGCTTAGCATTTCCTTACGTACCTTTAAGAATCGTGTGTTTCTATATAATTTCTATTTTTATAAATTATGAGTTAATGTTGACTTCTTGCCGCAAGCATAGATTGGTAAGAAATTTATATTCCTATCACGCAATTCTTCAAATTCTCTCCATTATATTTCTTTAATCTTTTTGATATGTATTTGATATCGCGTTGCTGTGATGTTTTCTACCGTAAGGAGTTTGTGTTTTTTCTATCGTACAGCACGTACTCATGAACAGGAAATGCAGTTAGTGAGAAAGAACCCGTAACTATTCTCTCACTTGTCCCGAGTATTTTTTTTCTAGCATACCAAAAAACTTTTCCGGAACAGCTGGCAAATGAATTAATCTCGAGATGTTTTTAGATATGAAGTATTTTATACGCAGTCTTAAATAACTATTATATATATCTTAGTTAAGTCGAAGACTAATTTTTTCATTCATTTTGCTTGAAAATTCAGAATTTATTGCTCCGTATGTGACTACGATAACAAAAAAGAAAAAAAGAAAGAAAAAAATTCGTTACATGGATATTTTATTATTATGTCGTAAAGTAGAAAAATTATAAAATTGTTATATAAATCTTATTAAATATTGCTGAAACGAGTTCTCTTCTTAATAATCTTTATTTCGGAATAAAATAGAATAATACGAGGGTGAGGTGAACTGCGTTATATCGTTATATATTAAGTAAGATTCTTGAACGACAGAGCGACACTTACGACATTTACGTACAAAGTTCTAAAAAATAAAGAATTTAATCAAAGCTATTTTCAACAATAACATTAAATAGCAATTAAAATGAAATCGAATTTTAATTTTAAATCATTTTATATTTCCAAGAAAACTTGATAACGTATTTTCAATTTGAATTCATGATCGATCAAGGTGTTTTTAAAGTTTGAATTTTTATCCTTGTCTATCGCATCTGTAATGTACCTCAAGATTGTCAGGCACTCTTCCAAATAATTCCATAGGATCGCAGGTTTTCTCAGATCTAACATTATCATGATCGTCGTGTGATGTGGCAAATGACTTAAAGAACATCCTGACAGAGCGCTACGTATTATGTGACTATTTAAAGATGCGACTTCCCATATATGTACGATGTCCTTCACCTGATTAAATTTATAATTACATAAAATGAAAAACAATTGCATTGTATATTAATTTTTCGAAAAGAAATGTTAAGAAATACAAGAAAAAAATTTAATACTGCAACCCATTAACGCGATAATGACATTTGATAAGCAGGTAAATGAAATATCACTATATGTAAATTATATAATAGGAATGTATATTTAGAACAACGAGATTAAGTGGCTCGGCTCAAAATATTTCATTAATTTCAACAAAATTTCATAGTAGCAAATAATTATAAATGCACAACAATTGTAATTGAAAATTAAATACAAACTAAATCGAATATATAGAGATTGTATTATGGCTTTTAGTATTAGTATTTTACATGTAATATTCTCCAGATTTTAAAAGTATTTTTAATTAAATATTTCATTTATGCAAATCATTTTATTGTTTCTTAATCTAATGACCCAAATAGGGCTTGATAATTCATCAATATTTAATACATTGAACGTTTGAAAATTACAAAATTACAAAAATTTAGTGTGTATTTGAATACTCATATATTATTATATATGATATTATATATATATACATATAATACTCATATATTCATTATACTCACTATAATAAATTCGTCGAATAATAATTTTAATATTTATAAATATATCAATAATTTCATGTAATTTGTGAGAAAAAAATTATTGTTATATTTTTATAATATTTCTTCGCAGCTTGCATATATATATATATATATATATATATATATATATATATTATATTAAAAATTTATAATGCTTACCAAACTTTTTCCTGCTTTTCTTCCATAATAATAATCCATCACAATAGTCGGTTTCGGCGAATCTTCTCTTTCTAAAAACCGATGCACCATTGTCGTTTTCCCCTATAATACATGCAATACATATGTTTTTTCTACTTTTACATCGCGAAATATTGTTCAAAATTTTATCTTTTATCTTATTTTTTTTTTCATAGAAATTTTTATTGTTCATAAATTCATTAACTTTCAATAATTTAATAATTATTTATTTGCGTTTAATATTTACACTGGACTAATAAATTGAATTCTCGATAATATTATGTAAAAATTTTGAATTCGAATATACTTTTATAAATAGTATTGTAGCTCGTATTATAATTATTATTTATAAGATCTATTGCTCATCGATTACATTCTGAATTATTGGACAATCCGTATAAGAATTAACGAAATGTCAGTTTATTCGCTAAAATACTTGCCACTCCTTTGGGTCCAATAATAATAATTGATTTATCATGACTTTCATGTGTATTAGTAACTTCTTGAATGGTACTTCTTAAAAAAGATTCTGCAGAATCATCTTGATTGCTATATTCAAATTTATCAATAATAACATCGATATACGTATAATAGTAAAATACTTTTCCTATTTTACGAAATGCTTTTACGTAAGGATAATTATTTTAAAAATTTTATTAAAGCCAAGATAAATTATTAAAATACAATGGATAAAAGAAATAAGCGAATTAAGGAAATTATTAACGAGTCCTTAACAATTACTATGGGCATAATTTTATACTAAAAATTATTTACTAGAAGCTTAATTTATGTTCTACGGAAAAAATACTTTATGAATATATGTAAATAAAAATATTATAAGTTACATAATAAAGACTTTTAAATTGTTAATGTAAAAAAAAATTAAATATTTAGTGCAAGGATTGGACGATTTTATTAAATTCGAGACTTTTAAATTATGAAAATACTTACACCTCGATACCCGACATATTAAAAAAATACTAAAAATACGCTTCCTAATAACAATGTGGAATTTATTTTACGGAAACTGATTGTTACTCTATAGCGAACTACCTGTTTTCGTATACGTTACCATGGAAGCAGGGAACCAATCTTCATTCCATTATAAAACTCCAAAGACATAATAATAATAATAATAATAATAATAATAATAATAATAGTATTAGTAGTAATGTTATTATGAAAATAAAAAATACTAAAATTTGTTAAAATAAGTTAAAAAACAAAAAAAAAAACACCGTACTACGTATATTTATATGCAATGTATAAGTTGGTAATGCATTTGTACATTAATTACAAGTGAAGAGAGATATTAAGTAGTAGATTTTTTACTCGACTAAATTTTTGTTTTTTGTAGATTTTTTTTATTTGACGTGCAGTGTACACACGACAGCGATACAAGGAAGTTGATCAGTCTTAAAAATAAATCTTCAAAGAGATTTATTTTCTCTCGAGAATATCTCAAGTGTGTGCCAGAAAATTGATTAACTATTAATTATCATAAATAATGAATGAATTTTTTAAACTCTCGTGTGCTTATTTTAATATAATGGAATAAATGTTAAGACTACATCATTTTACGTTGGGTCATTTCGTGCATTTATTTCATCTATATATATATATATATATATATATATATATATATATTTGTTTTTTTTTTTTTTTTTTTTTTTGTTATAGATTTAAATTTAATCTTATTTATCTGTTATTTACATCATAGACTAGAGAACAAATAAAATATTAAATAGTAAAAACGGAATGATTAATCAATTAATTCCATTAAACTAACTCGATAAAATTGTTCTTCAGTTTTTCCAATCAACATATTTTACAATTACTTTGATGACAATATTTTAATTATAAAATCACAATGGTACAATCATTAAACTAAACAGAACAAAAAAAAAGAAAAAAAAACAAAAAACAAAAAACAAAAAAAAACACGAAATGAACGAACGTTGTGCAAACATCACAATGGCAGTGAATTAAGGACTTTCGTACTTTATGACTACTGCTATCGTTATTATTAATCTCATGTTAAGAGCAATATGAGAAGCATTTTAAAGTTATTTATACATATTTTGGTCCAGGTAGTACCTCATTTCGTGTTTTTATTTTGTTTTGTTTGTTTTATTTGTTTTGTTTTAAATTTCATTCTATGCATTTCAGTCTGAATTAATATAAGGTTTTAGAAGCTAATTACACAGCGTCCAAGTAATTAGGCAAATTTTCTCGAGTCATGTAACATTTCTTGTGTTTTATAAGTATTTATAATAATAAAATTACAGCTACACCAGCACTTTAAAATGAACAATTTGTATCTACAATTCCGTTAGCAATATTTCAGCACTGTGAAAACATCAGAAATTGTCAATGGTCATCTATTTCTGTGATACTTGATGGCATCGATAATGCAATACACAACACGTTCTGCATGTTATCTAGTCCAAACATTATCTAAACAATCGTTACTCAATTCCTCAGCTGGCAAAACCTTCAAATTTCGCAGGGTTTCGAGATAGAAAGTCAATTCGGATGTAACGACTCCATGCTGCGGACCACCATTATTAACAATATTCATATTCGCTAATTGCTCTCTTAATTTATCCTTAAACGATGTGTTCACTGTTCTGTACAGTTCTTGCACTTCGTCGTTTGGAAGAATACCAGATACTGCCTCGTGGAGTTTAACCAAATGTCTGAAAGTGTCGTATAGTATACATGTAATTATGTTTATTAATAATAAGGTAATAAAATTTAGTAGGCTAAAGTGAATACATACAATGTCAGATAGGCGAGCATTAAATATTTTTTAAAAAATAAAAGAGACTTTGTATGAGTGTAGTAAAAGTAAAAAATATACAAGAAACAGATGAAATTAATAATAATTCACATTACGTCTTATGTTATTTATCGAGCACTCGCTCATTATTATTTACAAACCTAGAAATATTTCTGAATGATTGAGATGGTACTGGTGGCTTAGCAACCCAACTAGCGATCTGACCTCCCAGAAGGTCGTCCACAATTGTTAATATTTTTCCTTCGATCTCGTGAATATGAGAGCGAATATCTCTTTCAACTGTATCCAGCAAAGCAACTCCTCCGCTTATACTAGTTAGACCTATGACACTATTATTAGAATTCTGTTCTGCCAGAGCTGTCGGAAAAAAAAAAGAAAAAAAAAAAAAAATAAGAAAAAGAAAAGAAAGTAAAATGATTATTAAAATAAATAAAATGCACGATATGACGACCGATGAATCATTACATTGACTATTATCTTATGCCATTCAATTTTGTATTTTTATTTATTCAGTCGACATTTGATATGAAATTCTAGACAATACTATTAAAATAGAATATACAATAAAAAATAAAAAGTGAGTAACCGTTTTCTTTTTTTTTCTACGCATCGCATAGAATGTGACAAATAAGTGGCAAAAATCTCAAAAATTAATTCTACTGAATTATATATACATGCATCGAATGCATAATTAAAGAAGCTGTAGCTTTGTCATTAATAAGCAAAAAACTTGAATATACCTTGAAAATGTGCTTTAACAAATGGCATTAACCATAGTACCAGCTTTAAGCTTCGACTTGCTAAAACAAGTATTATGCTAGTAATAGTTTTGAGTCCTGCCACTTGTAAGGCGCCAGCGCCCAGTACAAGCTGATAACAACGAGAATTGTAGTGACGCAATAACTCGGCCAATTGACGTCGAATCATTCCCGATAAAGCCGATAATTCACTAGCGGTTCTGTATGTACATAAAGTAGAAATATTATATACTGAGAATGTAATTACATCAAAGGTTCTTTTCATTCTTTATTTTCAGTGGGCTGATGGAATGTTGGGCACTGTGCCGATTAAGGCGGTGTTAAGAATTTCCACACTAAGCACGAAGTTTTTAAAATAAATTAATATCCACGGAGAATTAATTTTACATGCAATCCATTTCGCTAACAATTTAAATCAGTATTGTTACATTTAAACAAAGGACAGAAAAACCAAAACAAAACCAAACAAAACAAAAAAAGTCAAAAAATAACAGAGTATTGAAGTATGCTATTATTACTGAAATTCTTACTAATACTTATGAAGTTTAATATTAAATGCTATATTATGGGAATGAATATGAATATTTATATTCTTCGTTAATTAATTCACATTTTAAATTTTGCATACCTGCAATACTCGTGGATAATTTGAATCAATACGAGAACAGTCCCTACTACAGCATACTTTTCATCCCCAATGTATACAATATTCATAGACTTGTTACACTGATTTATATCTGAAATGCATAATTCGTAGGGGAAGCATTCGTTTTTGTAAATATACGTAACAAGAGCTTGGAATTCCGGTGGAACATCAGCTTGCTTCCATTTTTCTGAATCAAGCACGTGGTTTAATTTAATTTTCCGTTCTGTATGCATTTTCTGCACAAACTTACTCGCCTGGGCCTGTACAAGCAAAAAATTTACATTTACACACGAGAAATCGTATAAATAATCGTATATGATAACAAGTTTTATCAAACACAGTCTCTACCTTAAAAACACAACGAAGGGAGATGCATTGCTTTCCACACAATTTCTCACAAGTTTCCGTAAAATTCTCCACGATATTAGCCAATTTACAAACTTGGGCTGTCGTAGCCCTCTCGCTCAGCCAGGACTTATCCGTCCAATTCGTTAATTCTTTATCCGTAGATTTATTTGATGACATCTCGATTTTTTCTTTCTCACTTTCACTGGGACTTGCGGAAACCAGATTTCCCAATCGTTCATGACAATAGTCGCATATAGACGTAAGCATGTCCACCAATTTCGTAGTCACGCGCACGTGATCGTCATCTAGCAAAAGTCGATCGATCAAGCAGGATTCGTTCGTTTTGTCGGCTGATTTTCCAGCTGCCAAATCCGCAGTGTCGCGCATAACATTATGAACGGCCTGAAATGTCGAAACATTTTGAGAAATAATTGCAACTTCAGCGTCGACTGCCCTGTCTACCTCGATTTTACGATTAATCAATATCTTTACCTTAATTCGATATAAAAGTGATGTCAGTGATTGTATTGTATTGTCTAAAAGCTTTAATCTTTCTGTGAGAGAAAGGCTGCCAACTTCAAGAGCAGCTGCTTGTTGATCGCTGCAGCAATCGCTGTCAGCTAATGCTTCGATGACACGTTGTTTGGTTACTGCTCTCACTGTTGTCATCGCTTCCTCTTTGTACGTGTCTATAAATTGGAAATTCTTCTGGCGCAAGAGTCCCGAGATTATAGAAATAAGCTTATCCTATGGAGTAATTGGCAAATGAGATATAATGATTAAGCAAATGATGTGTTTATTGAATTTTATCGAGCCTCACCCCATCCAGTACGGTATTATCTCCAACTAATGGTCTGTTTAGATCTGCCGTCGCGTACCTTTCAAACTCTGTGTGGAGCATTTTGTTGATTAATTTCTCCATTTCTAATAACTGTGGACCCAAATGCCTATCGGAGACAAAATAATAATTTCCATTCATTGGACATTGATAAAGAATTTTTCATTTTGTCGGATAATTACCGAAAACTGTGAATTCCATTTAATTCTTGTAGTAAAATTTCTTGCGTTGTGGAAATAACATCTAAGGCAGCTACGTAATCTGGCGTTGACAGCAACGATTGAATCATTGGCTGACTTTGATGGACCGTCGCTATAAGCTTCAGTTTTTCTTGCACTATCGAGTGATTGGACCGTTTGCGTTCCAATCTAGAAAATCAAATATCACATTACTGACTTTTACGTAGTGAAATTATAATTTGAATCTGAACAGCTCTTACCTTAAAACTTCTAAAGAATTTTCAACGGGATTTTTATCGATATCATGAATACTTTGTCGAAGAGCCTTTAAAACTGTAATGGTTTGGGTTAATTGTTCCATTAAAACATCGTGCGAAGTCATAGCGTGGAAAAATGCTTGTGATTTAGATGCCACTTGTTCCGCAATTTTAATTTCCACGATATCCAAATAATGAGTAAGCTAAATCGAAAGTTATTTTTCAGTGGTACGTTATATATTGAATACGTAATGGATGTTAGGTACGTACCTTTTCTTGCATTTGTTTCACATTTGTGCCTATTTGCTTCCCTTCGCCAAGCAATCCATCCTTTGAGAAAGTGAAAACATTGTCAAAATTTTTCTTCTCCGAAAGATCCAAACTGGGATTTAAAAAGTATTTTGGTATATTCTTCAAATCGAATAGCGAATGATCTGCAAAATACAAAAATTGTTTTATAGTTATAAGAGCTTAGATTTGTTTAAATAACCTCCAATTTCATTATCCAGTATTAAAATCTACAGTACCTATTGGTCCATTATTAATATTAAACGATTTAACTTTTTTAAGATTAGGAAAATTTTGTAGCAATTCGTGCGGCGAAGCTGCTGGAAGATTAGCAGTTGAATTTAAACGCTTATGCTTACGATACCTCTGTAAAAATCAAATAATTAAGGATAGCGAGAAGTTAAAGAATAACAATAATATTTATTAGGTTCGTTAAGACACATACCCGAGCTATCTTCTTCAAATAAGATTCCAAATGATGCACGGTAATGTCAGGTAGATAGGAGCACTTTGGAATTTCCACTTTTTCAATAAATGAGTCACCCCATGTCTTTGTGAAAAAATTACTTTGTTTTCCCTTATTGGGATCGTTAAGCACAGCTGGTAAATTTTGAGAAGCAGAGTAGACTGACCAAGAAGCGCACGAGGCAGCAGCTAACTGCCCGTTGGTCTTCTTCTGCTGCTGCTGCTGCTGCTGTTGCTGCTGCTGTTGCTGCATCGTTGCGTGCTTGATAACATGGGCTATGTAATCCTTGTCAGAGACTCCTTCCACCGGAAGACTAGAGCAGACACCATTGTAACCGTAATGACAGACGAAGGAACCACCCTCTTGGCTGCAGTGTCGTTCGCGTAAATGCCTAAAAGCATTTCAACAGTGACATTTCAACAGTACATTGGTCAGGTAATCTGGCTGGGCTATGTGTGTTGCTTCTAGGTTAAGTCACAATGGGGCAGAGCATGAATAAGCCAATAATATCCGTGTCACTGTAGCGGTTCATAGGCGTGTGGCCGCGTAACAACCTGATTAAATGAAAAAAAGAATAAAAAAAAAAAAAAAAAAAAAAAAAAAAAAAAAAAATAATAAATTCTCATAATAATAGATGAGAAGGCGAGGGAGGATGGGCAAACCGAAGGACGGAAGGACGGGAGAACAAGAGGAGATAACGTTTGCGGAGGTAACTTTACTTAAAATTGCAGTCGAATGTCAAGCTGTCGAATAGAGTTAAAAGGGGCAAAGCAAAGACACTGGAATATAGCCACCTTACGAAATCTTGGATATGCTTCAATGGGAGGTTAGCACAGTGCTCGCAGGGCAGTACCGTCGCAACCGCTTCTGCCGTGAAGATTCTTGCCATTTTCCGAGCCTCCAGCTGTTCGCGCTCGCGGCGGGCGCTCGCTTTTCCTCTCCGCCGTCTCTCCCTCACCCCGCCGCGCGCTAATTCACCCGCTCGGTAGCTTGATGAAGCTTGCGAGAAGCCCGAGTACGTGGACTTGTTGGTAGGAAAGTCCTGGCGGAATTGTATCTCTCGTCGGCGACTCGCCTACATCGCGCTCGACGCTTATTATCGGCTGCCACGACGTCCCATCTGCACGGCCTATCGGGAATTACGGTCCGGCGAAGTGGTGGCGGGGGCGCCGGGGGCGACGGGGCCAACGGGAACAGTCCGACTGCGGTCGAGCTCGACGTCGTCGCGGTTCCAGTTCCTCCAACTCCAACGGCTCCACCTGACTCCTCAACGAATGACGTCCACCATTTATTTACACGCACCCATCAAGATACGCGTTTCTTAAACCATTTGCGTCTCTATCTTTATCTCTATGTTCAAATATTATTACACACGCGCTTCCCTTCGTTTTATTTTGTGATTATTATTGTCGTTAGCGTTGCCGCTGTCGTTAGTATTATCGTTGCTGCACTTTGGATTTCCTTTCTCTCCTTCTCTTCTTCGATCCATTCATACTTCCATCTCTGCATGCTGCAATTATTTTTCTACAACTGAATGCCTAATATTTCATTTATTCGTCCTACCTTTGGAGTCGACTCCCTGCACTTGCATATTTCACAAAATGTCATTTATATCGAAGTGAATTGTAATAGCCTTGCGGTCAATAAAAATTAAAACGAGCCACGGCTATTTCGTTTATTCATTAAACTATTTGAACTATCTACGAATTAATCGCATATTAAGTATAATTGCATTGATTTAAGGCTTCGTTGGCCGCCAGTTAATTAATTAGTTGTAATAGTTGATCGTTTCTAATATTGTCCGGTGATTAATTTTAATTGAAAAATTAACGTAAATGTCGATTTCTCGATAAGTTGACAAAATGAAGAGGTTTAGAATTCAAGGCGAACTATTATTGATTATTACAGTTGTTAATAATCCCACAACGTCCGACCAAATACTTTGTTTATGAAACACTAATTACTTAATAACGCATAAATTGCAATAAAAAAACGAGAATTGTATTTTATTATAAAATATATATGTGCACTTTTTGTTTTGTTGTAAATTTTATATAATATTATCAATAAAGGAGAAGATTATACAATTGTAAAGTTTTTAAGAAATTTCATTTTACTAGTAAGTACAATAGACGTTAAAAAAGGGAAAAAAATGATACTTCGAAAATAAAAAAAACTTTCAAAAAAAAAAAAAAAAAAAAAAAAAAAAAAAAAAAAGACAATTCGTAAAGCTAACGAGTTTTGTTACATAAATTTCATTTAAGTAAACAATTTAATTCCGAGAAATATGATAATCTTTATCGTCGATACAATGAAGAATTTATAGCCTAAAATTCGTGATTTATGATAGCGTTAACAAATAAATATTACACTCATATTTTGACTTCTCGTATTGCGAAATACGCATAATTCGATATTACGCCAATAATGCATCGATATAATATCTTATGCTATATCAAGGCCCATACGATCAATTTGAAATTAGTATTACAAATTTTGATTGTAATGTTATTATTAATAGCGCTACGTTATTCGCATAATCCGATGAATTTTAAGGAATTTTAGAAAATGTAAAAATATATGTACTGTAATGATGTTAAGGCTGAAATTATAGTGATTTATGGATTTGTTAGGTTTATCGATGTAGTAATAAATTGTCAGGCAACTTTGCTTCCAATTTGCTTCCAAAATCGTTATATGTTAAATTAATAAGCAGATTTGAAAATGTCAAGATTTGAAGATGTTTGATGAATCGTGTAAACAACATATTAAAATGAAAATATAGCCGAAAGCATTTGATTAGATTCATTGGAAGAAAAGGCAGAAATGCATGCGTCCTTTGGTAAAAAGAATTTTGACAAAATAAATTTGAATGAAAGATTCACAATATCTCGGCAATATTATTATTATATTATAATAAATAATTTTAGCACATAAAATATCGAGACGATAAATAACGTCATTCGATTCTACGACTATGGATTTTTCCATCTTTCTTTTGTTTTTGTTTTTTTTTTGTTTTTCTCTTATTTTCGCGATGCATAAAGAAAGAATACGTGATTAAGCTCTGCCACGGTTTTCCAGGATCCGACCGATTGACAATGAAATGTCTTAAACGCACATTTGCTTGGGACAATCCCAATGGAGCGGCCCAATGAATTGAAGCAACTCGTAAAAATGTAATGTCGTCATGTGCATGAAAATAAACGATCCTGAAATCCCGAGTCCGCTGCTTATTCGTTACACCTCGCGAGAAACGAAGAAAAAGGGATTAAAGATGCGAACGTATAAACCTAGATAGCTCATTGGGTAAAACAGATTGGCTTAATCCAATAAGAATTTTGGATCTTTTGCATAGCGCACGGAGGCCCGCGATATCTTCCTACTGTCTCGACTGGCGTTGGCGTTGATGATAATACTGCTGCTGATTTGATAAGACGACAAGCTGATGAGTGTTGCGATTGTTGACCTGGGACGGCTGTTGCTGATGTTGTTGTTGTTGCTGCTGCTGCTGCTGCTGCTGCTGCTGCTGCTGCATTTGCTGCACTTCGAGGGCGAAGAGCTGCTTCTGACGCATCAGCCGCTCCCGATCCTTGTGGATATAATCGTAAACGTTGGGTAGGGTCGTGATGACGCAGGCGGACACGGCCGAGCGATACTTATTCATGTCCGTTGCCTCGTACCTATCGAAGCGACGTAGTGGAATGTTAGTTTAGCGGGGAGCCGATCTACTAGCTCTTATTAGTTGGCCAACGACATTTCAAGAAATGAACAATTGGGCATCATTGTTTGTTCGTTGTCAGTGTGCCTGCGAGCCTAATGCGTCTAACATTACGCTTATCTTATCTTACTGATATATCGCTCTCTGCGGACTCGAGTGAGAATTTCAGCTCTTGGATCAAAACTGTCAATACCGAAATACTTAATGAAGAGAAGAAAAAAAGAAAAAGAAAAAGAAAATAAATAATATATTGCTTATATGTACACACCATACTGATATAGATAGACATTACCTTATTTCAAATATGAATAAGTGAACCGCTTATTCCGACCGAACAAAATTTTATAAATCAAACACGTTGCAAACTATAATATATATATATATATATATATATATATATATATATATTATCAACTATGACGTAAAAATTATATAAAAACTTGAAAATTAAAATGCTACATTTTTTATGTTTATGGATAATTTGATATTCGTATTAAGTATTCTACATGTGCATTTCACGCGTAATTATATATGTGTAATGTGATTCATCGATCGATATTATGAAAGAAAGATTTTTTTGTTTAAAGAGTGATAGAGACTTTTTAAGTAGCTAAGCATTTTACCAAGATATTGGTTTTTTTTTATTTTTTATTTTGTTTTTTTTTTTTTTTGTTTTTGTTTTTTAATGGATAAAGAGCACCGACTGAAACGAACTAAACATATAAAAGTAATTATGGAAGAAATACATTAAATATTAAATTAACTAAGAAATAAAGTAGAATATAAAATTAACGCGTTTTAATAAAAAAAAAAATAAAAAAAAAAAAAAATAATAAAAAAAAAACAAAAAAAAAAAAACAAACAAAAAAAAAACAAAAAAAATCATACACGACTCTCACGATTATAATAACTGAATCATTTTACGTGTTATCTTTTCGACCGAAATAAGAAAGGAACTTTAAGAAACTTTTAAGTGTTCGACTCTATGAACAGCTTTCAATTAACACAAATTCGAGAGAAAAATATTATAAATATGTGCGTTATTTTCCTTGCGAGTACAACGAATTTTGAAATAATGCACGAAAAGATTCCATATCATTTACTAAGAATTTGCATTAACTATAAATTTCATAATAGTTCCAAGCACTTTTATAATGAAAATATTGAGATTCGCCAGATTATAATAATTATTGGAGAATTTTCATAATTAATAAGCAAAATATACATTCATCAATATTTTCAGCATTTTTCATTCTTTCTATACTTATTATGGTGTAAGCATAGTAGCAATTTTGAAAACCAAATGAAACTTATTTATTCCTAATGTAATTGCAATTGTAAATTAAATGGAAATCTTTATATATCGGCAAATTGATGCCCCTTCGATATGATGCTCGATGCGATGATATTTCGAAATTCGTAGATTTTTATCATACATCGTTGCTTTATTAGAAAGAAAGAATTTACGAAGAAAAGAGTTGGCCCATCAACGATCAACTCTTCGCGAGTTCCCTTAATAATCAAGGCCGTAATACTTTACCATTCGTTAGTCTTCTCATCGTAACATTCAACGTGATAAGTCGTCGTGACGCCATTAAAACCGCCTATAGCAAAAATCATATCGTCGATTATCTCGATGGCAAAGTTACTCCGCGGATTGTACATGTCGGGTATACGTGTCCAGCTGTTGGTGGACGGTCTGTACTTTTCTCCGCAACACATCCTCGATACACCATTGAATCCTCCTAAATCATTCAATTGTTTCGCGTTTAATGGGATGTGCGTGTGCACGGCGTTTAATTGACACAAGACCCGCGAGAGTCGATTTTCAATCGAGCAGGAGCAGCGCCGCGTTTAATTGAAAAATACGTTCGATCGGGAGAATTGCCGTTTGGAAATTAGAGAAGCTCACAATATCAGTGCTCGGAAACATAAGTTAACCGGTGTTAAGCTTCACTGGTCTTATTCTGACCCATTTCCATTGGCGTAAAGCCAGCCGAGGTCATTTTCAATACGGAAATGATAAATCCATAACGCGCTGTGCAATCTTTATCTATTCAGATGGAACGCGTCGTTTCGACGAAAATAATATACTTGCGCTAGTGTCGATCGATTCTCATCAGAACTGTTCCATCGCTGTAAGATATTAATTGAATAACTTTTGCATGGATTTAAATCTATATACAGACAATATATATATATATATATATATATATATATATATATTTTTAAAGTAGAGCTATGCATATTCGATTTAAATAAATAAAGTAGAAAAAAAATTGTAATAATTAACGTTGCTCACTGATTTAAAATCAAACGCGTGTGCACGTTCATAATAATCGTTTCAGTAGCCAAAAATGCATAAAGATCAATGAAACTAAATGAAAGATTAAAAAAAAAAAAAAAAAAAGAAAAATGGAAAATAAAGAAAGGAGAAAAAAAGAGAGATTGAAATATTACGAAAGTTTAAAAAATTCAAATTCTAATAACACATGCGATAAGAAAATATTTTACGAAAATGCTCGAATAAATTAATTAAATTTCGTCCATAGCTTTAAAGCATCAACGGCGCTATCAACGCAATATCGCGTTTGCCCACTCGACGGAGCCGGCAAGTCGCTCTCGATAAGAAGAAAAAGACAATTTTCAAGTATTCCATAACTGTCGAGAGAATGCCGGCATTAATAAAACTAAAATAAGTGAGGAGTCTCGTAGGATGAGCGAGGGAGTGAGAAGGGAAGTTAGCTGTGGGCCAACGACGACACGTGGGTAGGAGGAGGAGGCGGCGCGAAGGAGCGAAGAGAAGGTAAGAGAAGAAGGGCAAAGAAGAGAAGAGAAGAGAAGAGGAGGGATAGATCGAAATACCTATAGCGTAAACGCAGCCGTGATAAGCGATGCAGGAGACTCCGCTTCGACGCGACCTCATCGGGGTAATCATGGTCCACTGGTTAGTGTGCGGATCGTAAACTTCGACGGAACTTATGCACTCCCGACCATTGAATCCACCCGTTATGTAGATTTTACCTGTGCACGAGTAGGAATAAAATTAGCCTCGCTCGCGGCCATTCAATGCATTCGCCTTCTCTTACTACGAATTAATATCAATGGATAATATTTGGATTTTATTATTTTCAAATACTTATTTAACTGAGAAAGCCATTGATTTTTTGAAAGGCACGTAAATATTACAAGCTCGCGTGAGTGGACGCCAATGCAGAAATTGGACTTTTTTTTTTAACACGGCGAGGCAATATAATCCGTCGTTAGTGTCCTAGATAAGTAGGAGCTTTATTTTTCGTATATCCGATAAGAAATACTTGTGCGTCACATTGCTGGCCAACGTCTAGATTATGATCGAGGGTCTCGAACTCGAATGTCCTTAAAGCTTGGGCGAGGGAGCTTGCTGATATTAATTTGCGCGCTTTTCGCGATGTCGTTGGATAAGAGGATGACGTTACCGTTCAATGCCGTGGCGCTCGCATCCGATCTCTGAACGTTCATGGGAGCGATGAGGGACCACTGATTGCGCCGATAATCGTAGCGCTCGGCGGTGTTTTGACGATGGTAGCCGTCAAAGCCGCCCATCGCGTATATGATGTCGTTGAGAACGGCCACGCTCACGTACGACCTGTTTAATATTTAAAAAACGCCAAGTTAATAATAGTTCGGTTTTCGCGGAAAATCGAGGTCCCTTCGCGCGAACGGCATCGCATTAAATGGGCTTGGCGCGAGGGGTGCGGGGCTCTACGATATTGACCTCCGTCACGCGAATTTCGTTGAAAATATTGCCATTCGCCTTATGGAATTAATACTTATTGTGCTCTCGGCGCACAATAGAGTATCAAATTACAAATCATTATTGCAGCGGTTATGCATTATTTCCATGAGCTCTTTATGATTGATTAATAATCGGTGTAATCGACATAATCGCTTAGCAAGTTATTTTGATAATCGCTTGGTCGAGGTGATTGTAAATTTACCGACCCCGATTTTTATCCTCAACAAGATTGAACGATTGTAAAGCGCGAGATCGTCGTTTTTCCCTTCTGATATTTCAGGGCCGCAATTCATTTTCATCTCCGAATCAATGTAAATTCATTGGCGCCATAATTAACGACACCCGGTGCTTTCTTCGATTGTTTATGGGGCATTGTGGCGAGTAATATAAAGCAACAAACGCAAAGACGAATCTACGTCGCTTTACTCCGGACATTAAAATAAAAAATAATAATAATAATAATAATAATCATAATCATAAAAAATAAGAGAGAAAGAGATAGAGGTAGATAGATAGATAGATAGATAGATAGATAGATAGATAGATAGAGAGAGAGAGAGAGAGAGAGAGAGAGAGAGAGAGAGAGAGAGAGAGTGAGAAAAGAAAGCCGTTATACGTATGTAGCGAGGGGATAAAGCATTGGCTCAATTTCTAAAGTAAACTGTGCATCGATCACACTTTATGAACCTTCTGGCGTTCATCGGCGCGACCTCCCTCCAAATTTTCGTCACGGCGTTGAAGCATCTACAGCTATTAAAGAAGTCCATTCCGTTAAAGCCGCCGATCACGTAGATATTGTATCCGACAACGGCCGTGCCATGATAAGCCCTTGGCCCAGATGGATCAACGTGCGATACCTTGTGGATTGGACATTAAAATTTTTAGTGCAAAATGTCGGCTTGCGCATACGCCCATAAACGCGTCTCGTCCGTGTGTTAGCGAGCGCAGGATGGATTTCCACTACCCGTGTACACTAGTCTCTGTGCCGATGCCGAGGTGTGCATTATTAAGGTACGTTAGAGCTCGCGTGGCAAGCGGGTATTAGCCGACATACGTATGTCGTTAGGCTTAGGAGATAGCCGATGAAAGGACGAGGAGCTAAGCGAGGACCTTACTCTCTTACTCCCTCGGTAGTTTTTTGTTGTTGTTGTTGTTTTTTTTTTGTTGTTGTTCTTTCTTTGTTTTGTTTTTAATCAGCGCAGGAAATTTTGCCCATTTAAGACATCGAATGATTTAATTAATGAACAATTGGGAATCTACGTAGTTTGCGTGAAGGCCTGTAAGAGGGGCCATTTTGCTCTTAAATCCACGATCGTAAGGTTAATAAGGAATCGAGTCGGAAACTATGACACGGCATATTTTTGTTCTCTTGCTAAATATCGAAATAAAAGCGCTTCGGTTTGGGCAAGTATGTGAAGGGCAAGTAAGTGAGCGACGGGGAGATTTATGTGGGAAAATGGTCCGGAAGCGAATAGCCGAGAAATCCGCCCTGCGCGGCAGTGCCCGATCGTCTCCGAAGCAGAAGTCGACAATACGTCGATAAACCGTCGATAAATCGCAGCCCAACCTTGACCCAACGATCCGCTCTCGTGTCGTAGGTTTCGATGAGGTCGGTCGCCTCGCTACCGCTCCATCCGCCAATGGCAAAGAGTATCTCGTGCGGCACCCGCGGCCTCGCGATCTCCGGGGTTGGCATCTCGCCGTCCTTCTGCGTGATCATTTCGAGGTCGTAGAGGAACTTGAGTGTCTCGATGATGATGGGTCGACAGGCCTCGTTCCCTGCCACGTAAGGATGATCCTTCACGTTCTCGAGAAAGAACTGGGTATCGAGGAGACCAAGCCGTATATTCCGCATGAGCTCGACAATATGACCCTTCCGGCCCTCCGCCTCGTGATTGACCCAACGGAGCACCAGCTCCCACACCGTCTCCTCATTCTTAACGTTCACCTCGTCTTCTCCGATCAGCACCGTCAACTCCGCGATCGGCAGTATTAGGATCTCGTTACTCCTCTGGGAGACCTGAGCTCAAAGTTATGGACGCTCTTGAAAGATATCATTTTGCGCATATCGCGTAGAAAGTTCTAGGCAATCATAAACTCGCGTAATTAGTCAATTGGGAGCTCAAACACTCTATTCCCTACCCTACCATTTATATTCTATCTTACAATCTTACCACCACCTATGCGACGAATAATAAAGTTTATATATATAAATGCCATTAACATTAAAGAATCTTTATAACACGTTAAAGAATATAAAATAAGATAAATTAAGTATTTGCACGTTTTGATGGTAATAGAACATTTCTATTGCATTGTATTTCGTCTTATGTAATTTTTTCGCAAAAGTTCTTAAACACAAAGTGAAATTGTATCACTGTTTAATGATATTTTTCACTTTATATTGAAATATGCTTATCATATTATGCTCAACTTACTTCTCACAAATGCACTCATTGTCTATAAATCCAAGATGCCTCTATCCACTCAACGATACGTGTTTCAATAGAAAAAACAAAAATCTTATTTATTTGTAAAATTTATAATCTATTTTTTCGATTTTTTCTCAAATTGAATTAACTTGAATTTAATTTATCTAACAATCACATAAGCAGCATTCTATTTTTACATTATTTGATCCTATTTACTTTCAAAACTCCAATAAACAAAATGCAAAATTTTTAGATAAGATTTATACTTACTTATAAAACAAACATATAAAGATATCGCTGTCGACTTATATAATGACTTATCAAGATGCCTATTAGAGTTTAATGAAATATTTACGAATATTCTCCGTGTTTCAAGTGCAAAACGAATACTTGAAATATAATAAATAATACTTGTTGTTCCTCGATTTCGATAATCAAAACCATACAGCAATGTGTTCAACGACGTTTTTCAACCAACGTCGCGCTTTTACGTAGTTTAGGATAACAAATGATAAAATCCATGTAAAATACATTACTTTATTCTTAACGTTCAATTATAATGTTGATAATATGCTATATTTAATTAGCATAAACATGTGAAATCTTAAAAAAAAAAAAATACAATTACAAATGATAAATGTCATTTGAGTGAGAAAATTTTTCAGAACTTTCTACACTATAAAGTCTTAATCGAATAAATGTGTTAGAATCCGGTATGGTCTAGTGGCTAGGATACCTGGCTCTCACCCAGGAGGCTCGGGTTCGATTCCCGGTACCGGAATTTTTTTTTTTTCTTTTTTTTTCTTTTTTTCTCATTTTCTGGCTCCTTCTTTTATTATTTTCGTTAAAAAAAAAAAAAAAAAAAACTAAATAAAAAATTAGTACGCGATATTAATTGCCGAACGCTTTATGCTAAAAGCATTTAATTTTAAAATGTTCGACATGGCAATGCCGAGCGAGACGGTTCGCTGATTCGCGGTTAACGTTCGGTGCGCCAGTGGTCTCGAGGCGCTTATTTTTGAAAATAATTAGAAAGTGAAGTTCAAAGTTCTAAATAATATATTACACGATTTATAAATGTATGTAGAGCGAGTGCGAATAAATTTTGAATGGAAAATTATATAATTCATAGGCGAATGAATCAGACCTTGACATCGTTAATTAGCAAAAAAATATATTCGGCTTTTACTTTGACTTTTAAAACAAAACAACAACAACAACAATAATAATAATGATAATAAACATTAAAAATAAATAAATAAAATTTAAAAGAAAAAACGGATATTAAATAAAGTTTTTTGAAGGAGCCTTAAGTATAGTAAAGCGTCCCGGTGAGTTCGATTGCAGCAATTATAATTGAATGAGCCTAAGCTGCTTATGAAGATATTGGAATAGTAAAGGAGATATAATTGACTTAAGCATTATCATAGTGACGATAAGTATTTTTACTTTCTACCAAGCAAACCGTCGTAAAGTGTAATTTTAACATAACTTGCTTCCCAATATATAATGCTTCTTCATTATTTTCTTTGTTTGTTTGTTTGTTTATTTGTTTGTTTGCTTGTTTGCTTGTTTGCTTGTTTGCTTGTTTGCTTTTTTGCTTGTTTGCTTGTTTGCTTGTTTGCTTGTTTGCTTGTTTGCTTGTTTGCTTGTCATCGTTGACATTAATAAGCCAGCTCTAAACGCATATAAACGAATACTACCAAAAATTCGGCGGATTAAAGCGTTAAAGCGACCCCGTCGCTCGAATTAAGAATCGCACGATATATTTCGAGATATTTCGCTGGGGATGTTGGCCAGGTTAAGCGTGAAGGAAACAAGGCCGATAGCTAGGACGATATAATAATA